AGGTGTGCGGCATGGCGCCGCCGTGCCTTGTCACGCAGTCAGAGCGCTGCTGGGGGAGTCACTTCGTCCCGTCGGCGGGAGCTGGTTTTCCTGGGAAAGTTGTAAGCATGAAGTTGGGAAGGCGTGCCCAGACACGGATGGCAGGGCACAGGGAGGAGAACTGGGATTAAAAATAGGCAGTGATGCTCCGGGAAAGATACAGATCATTCTCAGGCACAGCAGGTCAGGTAACTCAAAGGTGTGTTATTTACACTCATTTGCATTAAAATGGGTAAGAATTAGTTTGTGCTTTTTTTTCTATGGCTGCAAGTAGCTTTTATTCCCATCAGTAGGAAAAACGTGAGGACATACAAAAGAAGTGAGGACATACAAAAGAAGTGGCGCAGATTTCTTACCTCGGCAGCAGAACACCAGTTTTACTGGGCTCAGACAAGCTAACGCGTCCGACGCTACTGACCGGGGTAAAAGTGTTGATGGGAAGTGCGATTTGTGGATCACGCTGCCGTACGTTCTCTTCTGGAGAAGAAACGAATTGTCCAGCTGTCCGATGGAAGCATACGGAGCTCATCTGACACCTGCTCTTTGTCAGACGAATGGATAGTGATTACGCCAGCCGGCAGTGCCTTTAGTTCATGGGTTTCACCATCACCAACCAACCATGTACTGTTGGAGCTGTAGCCGCCGCAGGCACGCCAGAGCCGTTGGGCAGTGCAGGGCTGTTGTCTTTGCCATGCGTCTATTTTTGACGTTTTAGAGAAAAAAGTGGGTATGCTGGGTTGGGAGTGGACGGTATCTTTTGTCCAAGGCAAGAGAGCAGTTGGGAGTGGTCAGAATGGTGTGATTAGATTTGGAATTAGTTTCTTTTGCCTTTCTCAGCTAGACCACCTTACTGATCCCACTGCACATAGTGATGCCGACGGCCGGTTACTGCCCTCTGAGAATTCCACTTATGCGAGGATACCACAAATCACACAAAAAGGCACCCATTTGAAAATAAGCTTCCGGTGAATGGCAGGAGCGAGACCATGTCTTTTGTGTTCCTGTCGCTCTGACAACAGTACACGTTCACCTTCTCATTTTACCACCTTTCTAAACTTAGTCCGAGCCTAGGGAAGAAGTTACTGGAACACAGGAATCCGCAGTAGTCGGCACAGTCAGGAGAACTGAACTCTCTGCTTCCTTTTGCCGACTCCATTAACCTCACTGAGGTTAATATTTTTAGGTACATGAATCAGTACTTTGCAGTTTTTTGGGCAGCGTTTTGTATTTGTACCCACTCTGAAATCCCTAAGCGTGACTGATGTGGTGGTGCGTTGCGTGGCACCTGGCCCCGAACTTCTCATGAACCGTAAATTCCTAAATGTTCCAGGTTTTAAACAAAAGCTACTTCTTGGAAGTTTAGAAACCGCTAGTAGTGTAATTAAAATAAAGGCAATTAGTTATGTGTAAATTTAATAGAAACAGACTGTAGCGACTGTGAGACAAGAGTGACATCCCGGCCTCAACTACAGAAAGCCTCACTCCTTGTTCTGCATTGGATTTTGCCTGGAGAAGAACCAGTCATCTCTCCCTGGTGCTGCGAAGTCACAGGTGAAAGGCAGTACG